TCTATCTATCTATCTATCTATCTATCTCTCTCTCTCCCGAATCCCTCCTATCCCGATCCCCCGCCCTCCTCCCTCCTCTACCCCGACCTCCCTCCTTCTCTCTCTCTTTCTCTCTCCCTCCCTCCGTGCTCCCTCTCTCTCCCCCCCATCCCCCTCCTCCCCCTATCCCGACTGTGACGGACCCGCCGGGATGGCGGTCCGTCAGGATCAAGACGAAGGGATGAGGATGAAGGAGATGGAGATGGAGCTGGAAGGGACAGCGCAGCCCCAACGCAGACTCAACATGCACGTACTCCAATCTGTGCAAATGAAGAATGAGTCACAAAACAAACTACAGCTGGGGTATACCCCCAGTGGACTGACTGGACTGGACTGAACAAGCCTAGTACCGACAGTGGTACCGGGCAGGACTGGACTGGACTGAATAACCACACGGCCTGTGGGGTCAGGCCACGGCCTGGTTCCACAGGCCGAACTGGCAAATAGCCAAATAGGCCCTGGCTATAGACCAGGGCAGATGAAGGCCCGCTGCACGATCCTCAGACCTGTAATGGATCGCAAGAGCCATAAACACGTTATCCGCAAAAGCAACAGAACTCTGCAATAAAGAAAGCTGAGAAATCTAGGATGCAGAGCAAGCTCCATACTGAGTCCATGCGATGCAGCCTAAACTACATAATGTCAAATGAAAAGCAAATGTCAGGTATACGTATCCTAACTAAAAGCAGAAAATGACATGCAGCATGATACAATCCTAAGGTCCTGGAGGCAATGGCCACAGTGCTAAAAGAAAAAGAGCAATATGTCACAAGGTAATGTCATGTCGCTGAACCACTAAGAGTGGGATGGTCGAAGAGGGGGTAAATGCAGCCTAAGAATCGAAACTCCTAAGGGCAGTCACACATGAAGGTGTGATAGGTCATCAGGCTCACGGTAGGAGAGTGGTAGCGAAACAAAACCAATGACCCTAACAGATAGACCCCTAGGGCGGGTAATGCTCGAGAAAAGGGTGACACCATGCAGGGTCGACGATGAAAAGGGAAGCCTGGAATAGGGTGGAGATATGCCTAACTGAAGGCATGCAAGAGCCGGCACTAGGGTGATGAGGGCAATGGGTGAGGGAAACATGCACACAACTCACCGACTAGGGGAGCAGGCTAGATCTGGGAGCAAGGAAGCCATGATAACGCTACGGTCGCAATGCCTATGCGATACCAAGGGAGAGCCAAACTCAAAGAGACCCAGCTAAGTGAGAACCATCATGCGACAGGGGCAAGGGAGTATACAGGGTAGGGTGGTGACGTGAAGTAGTTACGTCCAAAATAGCTGAAGTCGTCGAAGTAGTCGATGGCGTCGATGAAGTAGCAGTGGAGTTAATGTTGAAGCAGAGCCACAAAACGCTGACATCCTGAAGAAGAGATGATGATGGAGTACCTGATGGTGTGAGTCAGTGGAAAAAGATAGAGGATAAGAGTGTTAGTCATCGTAACGCGAAGGGCGACGATGAGTGCGCCGTGGACGCTCGGAGGCGACCGTCTGCAGCTTAGGAACGACCTCAGAGGGAGCGGCCACATCCTCAGCAGTTTCCTCAGCCGGAGGAGGAGGAAGAGGGTCAGTCGGCTGAGTAGAAGCAGATGTCTTAGCACGACGAGCACGATCAGATGCACGCACCAACATCCTTGCGTGCTGCAAGTGCTCGAGGGGCTCCCAAGTAGCCTCCTCATCAGGGTAGCCCTTCCAACGCACGAGGTACTCGATGCGTGAAGGGCTATCGTCGGTAACTCGGCATGATATGATGTCGGAAACAACGAACTCCTCGTGACCGTCCACCATGATAGGTGGAGGGCGCTTATAAAGGCGTCCAACAAAGCGCTCGGACGGTCTGCGATAAGGACGAAGCAAGGAGACGTAGTAAACATCGTGTACGCGAGTCTGTCGAAGGTAATCAGGTAGCTTCTCACGGAAGCTGACCGGACTAGCGGGAGTATCAGAACCGACGGCCTGAAGGATGCGGCATGGACCGAAGAAACGACACCTGAACTTGCAAAGCGTATCTACTTCGAGCTGTAAGTGGCGTGCGTCGACGAGCACATCGTCACCGACTTTGAATGGATGATCCCTTCGTGATCGGTTCGCTCGTGCGGCCATGCGAGTCTGGGAGTCGGCTAAACTCTCGTGTGCGCACTTCATAATCGCCACCATGTGGGCGATCCAGTCGTCAAGCGCAGGGCAACGAGTGTCTGGGCGCAACCGCGATGGTCGTAGGAAATCCGCGGGTACGCGAGGGTGGTAGCCGAGGTCGCAATAGAATGGCGACATCCCTGTGGCTGGCAAAACAGCGTGGTTGTACCCTAACAAACTTTCAGAGGATATTACCGAGAGTTTTGTTGGTGACCTAAGTCTGACCATCCGTCTGAGGTGGTAATACGATGAGAAGCGGAGCTGGGATCCGTACACCTCGTGTAGGCGTCACCAGAATGTGCTAGTAAAGCGCAGGTCACGGTAGGAGATGATGCTCTGAGGTAAGCCGTGATTTCTTACGACTCGGTCGAAGACGATGTCGGCGACCTCACGAGCGCTAATGCGATAGCCTGTGTGTCCGAAAATCGATTCAACGTGGGTTTCGCGTTGAAAAATTGAACGCGCGTTGAATTCGCGTTCAATCCCCGTTTAAACGCGCGTTGGACGCGAATGAACGGGGTCCGCGAACCGCATTTCCGCGCGTTTGGGGGGGGGTGTAAGGGGTTTTCTGAAAGTGTGGGGTGGTAGTGTCCGCTGTCAGGTACCGCCCC